CCCCCCCCCCCAACACACGCACACACACACACACACGCACACACACGCACACGCACACGCCTCTCTGTCGTCATGGAGATCACGGTTGGTTTGGTGACGGCCATGCCACGTTACATGAGGCCTGGCTCAGGGACTTCGAGTCTATGCAGCGCAGCTCTGTGCTGTGGCTCCTCTGCAGTCCGCATCATCAGCTCACAGTCACGGTATCACTTCTCCTTCCTCCGCTGTCCGCTCCGGAGTCATGTGAACGGCGGTGTCTCTCTCCGTAGACCGGACCGGACCCACCTCCGTCCGTCCGTCGCTCTCATTCGTCAGCGCCCCCCCCCGGTGGTTCTCCACGCAGGGGTAGTGTCTCTGTCCCTCGCCCCCGAGCCCCGCGGTTTCTCTCCGGTCTCCTCTCGGCGTGCTTGCGGCGCAGCGGTGGAGGATGAGCGAGCAAGGGAAGGGCTCGGCATCCGCCTCTGCCGCGGCCCCGGCGGCTCCGGGATCGGACACTTACAAAGGCTGGCTCTTTAAATGGACCAACTATCTGAAAGGGTACCAGCGGCGGTGGTTCGTCCTCAGCAACGGCCTGCTGTCATATTACAGGTACATTTTACTGACGGAGAGCTTTTTATTCTGATATCAGTGTGGGTGCATCACCACCGCTGCCTCAGCCTCAGCTAACAGCGGCAGGCTAGCGATGAGTGTTTACCTCAGGCTGACAGGGACAGGACGGGTCCGCTTCTCGGAGACTGGCTGTGGGTTGAGGAAAGGTACCAACACACCCAGACTAGTGGACAGACAGAGAACAGACAGAGAACAGACAGGCAACAGACAGACTGGTTGACATCAGCCTCAGCGTTAAGTTTCCTGACTCAGTAAAGTGACAGAAATGTGGACACAGCAAGTGTCAGCTAGCAAACTAAGCTAGCCCGCTAGCCCCAGCACAGTGGAGTGACAGCTGAGGATCCAGCTGCTGCTCACTCACAGGCACACCGTGTACTCAGTTCAGTCACCATGGCAGCTTTGGCCTTTTTAAACTCTGACTGTCATTGTTTCAAAATATTATCCAGAATGAGTGAGCGTCATTCCACACCAACCGAGAAACTCATTAATGAGCAGACATGGCTCAGGTGGATCTCTGTCAGGAGATAATGTATCAGATATGGTCTCAGTCTCTCCTGATCAGCTTGTTCTCAGTCTGTCTTCAGTCTGTCTTCAGTCTGTCTTCAGTCTATCTTCAGTCTGTCTTCAGTCTATCTTCAGTCTGTCTTCAGTCTGTCTTCAGTCTGTCCTCAGTCTGTCTTCAGTCTATCTTCAGTCTATCTTCAGCCTGTCCTCAGTCTATCTTCAGTCTGTCTTCAGTCTATCTTCAGTCTATCTTCAGTCTGTCCTCAGTCTGTCCTCAGTCTGTCTTCAGTCTGTCTTCAGTCTGTCCTCAGTCTATCTTCAGNTCTTCAGTCTATCTTCAGTCTATCTTCAGTCTGTCCTCAGTCTGTCCTCAGTCTGTCTTCAGTCTGTCTTCAGTCTGTCCTCAGTCTATCTTCAGTCTATCTTCAGTCTATCTTCAGTCTATCTTCAGTCTGTCCTCAGTCTGTCCTCAGTCTATCTTCAGTCTGTCTTCAGTCTATCTTCAGTCTATCTTCAGTCTGTCTTCAGTCTATCTTCAGTCTGTCTTCAGTCTGTCTTCAGTCTGTCTTCAGTCTGTCCTCAGTCTATCCTCAGTCTATCCTCAGTCTATCTTCAGTCTATCTTCAGTCTGTCCTCAGTCTGTCCTCAGTCAGTCCTCAGTCTATCTTCAGTCTGTCCTCAGTCTGTCCTCAGTCTGTCTTCAGTCTGTCCTCAGTCAGTCCTCAGTCTGTCCTCAGCCTGTCCTCAGTGTGATCACACAGGTGGAGGCTGTGAGCAGCAGACTCACACCTGTGGCTCAGGTGCTTCTTGTGAGGGAGTCATGTTTCCACAGGTGTGTGTGCACAGGCACAACACAGAAACAATGTCCTAATCATCACTTGATGTTTAGTTTTGTATGGATGTTGTATTATTTTATCCACTGTCTTTGTTTTTAGATTTTGTATTATTTTATTTGCTGTCTTTGATTTTGAATGACATTGTATTAATTTGCCTCTTGATGTTTTGTATTCTTGTTTTTATTTGTCCTCTGACTGAAGCACTTAGTAACAACTGTTAAATAATTTGTTACTATCATATAATAATTATTATTATTCCTGGATCACAAATATTTAGTTCCTCCAGTTTACTCCAACACAGAGGTTTTAACATGTCACAGAATTGTCAAAGGGCATAAGAACAGTTGGCTTTATTCATTAAAATAGTTTTACCGGTATAGTTATTTAAAGTCTTGTACATCTTTTTTCATTGTCACTTTACTGTTTGATTAAAAACCCTGTTAACAAGTGAATTAACTGTTACATGGACCAGTCTAAAGACTTTCACTTGTGACCTTGGGAACAGTTTGTGGTGATAAAATGAGCTAAACTCTTAGGGTCACTCTTCTCCCATTTACATAGCCAGATTCATTCACTGAAAAAGATGCTGAGACTCAACCAAAAGCTGTTCAAAATTATCACAACTATAGGTGGACCCTTGAGTTGTGATAATTTTTTCCCACAAGATCTTGATTCTTTTCATCTGGTTGCATAGCGTCGCTCATGCATGTTTAACCAGCTTGCTCGCTGCCGCTTGACTGCTTTTGTCCACATTGAAATACTGTGCTCTGTCGCCTTTTAGGTCACACTGCCCTTGGTGCACATTTACTAATTTAAACTCACCTTAAACTTCCTGCTATGTTCCGACAGGTCCCTCTTGCCAAGACAACCTATTAATAAATAGACATTTGGACCTTTTCACTGGAAGCAATTAATGATGGCTCACCGGGAACCCCCCCGAACCACCTGGAATATTTGTTGAGACAGTTGTTCACCTGGACTGACCCAGTTTTTTTTTTTATCGCTCACAGCAGAAGGAAGGTGCACATACAACAGCACTGTTAGTCATGGCTGAGACACTGAAGTGTAAACAACTTAACAAGATGTCATTAAACAACCTTCTAACTCTCTGTGCTAATGCAAAGTATAAATGCTTAGAGGAAAATAATTAATGTGACACTAAGCGGATCCCTCCAGGATAATTGTCTTCTCAAATGTCATCTTTCACTGCAAGGTTAGAGGGCAGAAATTGGCGATGACGCAGGAAGGGATTTAGTGCCTTGTTCAAAGGCTCCTCTGCAGGGAGAATTCTTATCGGTATGAGGGTTTGAGTCCTGTGACTGCAAGGCAAAACTTTGACTCATGATGTTTCCCAGCAGCGCCAACGGTCATACATGGAATTTTCTGATTGGATAGAGGACATATTTTACCGACTGTGCTTGTAGAAAGCCACATCCCAGGGTTTCCGCAGGGGCTAAAAAATTCTTTAAAATAAGTCAAAGTCTCAAATTTTAGGCTTTAAAAACTATTTTATGTGTTAAAAATGCTACTTGTGTTGAGCTTTAAAGTAAGTTATTTTAGAGAAATATTTTACATTTGCAAACACCCCAGTCAGAATTGATCTTAGTTGACTCAGCTTGTCTGTTGGAAAGACTACAGCCTCTGTCTGTAGTTTGAGAGATAATGTGGCTTTTGAGAAGTTAATTCACTACTCTGCTACTTCACCTGATCTTCAATGATGGGGAAGTGTAAGTAATTCAGACACTCTGATTTTCCTTTGTATCTGTCGCACTTGACATAGGTCTTATGGTCTTTAAAAGCTCTTGAATTTAACTTGTTAAAACCTGTAGAAACACTGCCACACTTTCTCAAGCAGCCTGATTGTCAGCAAAGTGTTATTTGACACAGGGGTATGATAGCCAAGGCCCTCTACTCCTGCCTACGCTGACGGTGAAAGGAAAGATGCCTGTTGCCTCTATACCCTCTATTAATAGTCCATCATGTTGTAAGGTGCCTGCTGTCCCTGAGGTAAAGGTAGCCCGTCCACATCTGAGCACAAAGGCAGTGAGGCGTATGAGTGGGCCCCACTGCCGATGTCTTCCTGGCAGGACATGCTGTGACTGTCTGACTTTGCCTCGTCGGGCCGACTGTCTGCAAGTTAATTAATGAATCTTCACCATGTGACAAGCGATAATTATCTAGCATCTCAGATTTATACCTCCTTTGCACATTTTTACCACCAAAGAGGTTATGTTTTCAACCCTGTCCCTTTGTTGGATTGTTGGGTTGTTTTGTTTGTTGACAGATTTCCAAAAATGTGGTGAAAGGATGGGGTACAGGTCAGGAATGAGCCCATAATATTTTGGTACAGATGAGGACTGGTTAGCAGATCCAGGATTTTTTTAATTCCTTCAACATTTTCACTGTTCATTCATGGATTTTAATGAAATAAAATCAGGCACATTTAGCGGACTGATATCTATGGGTTAGGGTTGTGTTTGTTTAAATCAAAGTTTAGTTTGCAAATACTGCTGTGTTTGAAGTTGAGGTATTGTAAGAAACGTGTCAGGTCCCTTGTTAAAGAGGAATCAGTGTATGATGTGATTCAATGGAAGCAGCCCACAAGCAAACACCTATAGAACCAACTCTAACGTGCAGCTGGAAAAGCAGAAGGACAGTGGACTATAATCAATGCTCTGTGGTCAAACTCTCACACTCAGCACCTATGCCTGTTAAAATGTAATGAGTTTTATAGAGATTGAACATTGCACTTGTTATTGATTACTTCTGGCACTGATGCTGCAAGAATGACTGTCTTTCATCCCATGTCAACCTTATGTCTTTTATTTGTAGTTTAAATCAGCTGAAGAGCTCCATTGTGCCGGTCCCATGCACCAGAAGTGTGACAAGATCTTCCTCTCTCACTGAATGCCTCTCATTGCTAATTTCTTAATTGACTTTTTCTCCCAGTTTTAATGCTCTCAGCACTTGTTCACCTCTTAAAGTAAATGCGGGCGGCTTTGCTGCTGGGAAGATTACAGGACATTAAAGCTTTGAGTGCTATTGGAGCTGCTGTATCAGTGAATCCGGCCTTGTCTTTCATAGTAGAATAGATCTGCCAGGTTTTCCGCAGCAGAGTAAGTAGATGGTATCAGTTTAAGTGCTCAATCAGTGGGGGGTTTGTCACAGTTTTTGTCCCTCAGGTTTTGGTGTTACTTGCAGCAGCTCCTGGGTAGAGGGAGGCAGGGCAGAGATAAGTGGTACCTTGGCCAACCTTGGGCCCAGCTGCAGGGTAAAGCCTGAACACTGTTTACCAGTCTGGCACATCAGCTGAGCGACAGGGGCAAGAAATGTGAATGCTCTGATCTAATCTTGTTAATGGGCACTTTGTTTGTCTTAGCACCAGGCTACGTGTGTGTGTTGAATAACTCTGTGTTTTTATGTGAAGGTGAGAGAAGCTGAGTGACGTTAAAGAGAGGTCACATTCTCACCCTCTCATTGCCTCACTCTTTGAGCAGGTCATGTCATGCCACCCATCATTGCTTTGGTTTTCTTGTCTTATGTTTGCGTTTTGTCTTCAACTCTGTTTCTCTGGCCGTCTTGTGATATTTCAGCTCCCAGCCAAAACAAAACCATATCTACACTTTCCACCTCTGAGTGCCTATATCCCCAGCTTGCTTGTGTGTGTGTGTGTGTGTGTGTGTGTGTGTGTGTGTGTGTGTGTGTGTGTGTCCTCATGCATGGCTGTCCGTTCTTTGTTATTCACTGGTTGTTGTTCTGTCATTACATGCTCCAGATCGGTGGACTTGTGTTTTATGAGGATATGTTCACAGGGGACTGACAGGTAAAAGCAGTGCAATTCTTTCCTGGCTCAGCGCAACATGCAGGACCCTCTCTCATGCCCTCAGCTGCCCCCCATCCCCCCTCCCCGCTAGAGCCTCAATGCCCCTGTTGTCCTTATCTTTCTTTGCCAGCTTTTCTAATTTCCTTGACTGTGTGATTTCATGACTTTTGCATGGCCTCGCCTCCCCGCAGGGCAGAAGCGATCCACATGGATCTCATCTCACTCATCAGCAGCACATTCAGTTTGTTGACCCAGTTACAGCCAGGACACCGCAGCTCTGCTCTGCTGGGCGAGGCTGCTTACTGGGCTGTTCAGGATATCTGAACACCTCACGGCTTTGCATGGCCTCAGTGCGATCTCGTCTGCACAGCCAATGTGCATCGAGTTCCAGCAGAAGGTACACTTAAGTGTTGTTCTGGACACCACAACAAGACTTAACTTCAGCCAATGGAGGCAGTGTGAGGAATTACTGCTTGGCAGAGCTCATAAATACGCTTCTTAGTAAACAGGGTGGCACCCACCTTGTCAGTGTCAACATAGACTGGAGCTGGTGTAGAGCTTAGTGCAGCTGAGGGACAGCTGCATGTGGCAGTGAGGGCTCACTGACAATGAATGAAAGGAGCATCCACATGATAGCATCCACATGATTGCATGGCTGCATGCTTCAAAGTGGTTGCTTCCTAGGATATGGACAGGGAATAGTGACATGCAGGTGCAGAGGATTTGGATGTTTTATCTGAAGCAGCCACCACAGCATGTGATTTTTGCTGATTAATTGCTGTTGTATAGTTAAAGGTGTTATTCAGAAAAAACAGCTGTGTGTGGCTAGACTGAAAACCTGCATGCTCTCTGAAGGACGTAATGGTCCATCCCTGCCCGGCGGCTTAGCTTTTCTAACTGTGACAGAACATCAGAGCTCCAGCTTTCCACCACAGAACTGTAATATAATCCTTCTCTTGACTCTTCTCATTTTAAGTTAATCAAATCAGATGCTGTAATGCAAAGATGTAATGTAAAGAGCCTTTTTCTAAAACTTGTCAGGTTGTAGACTGTCTCATCATGAAAAAATAAATCCCACTGTGCTTTTCTAATTTATTTGAAAATATATTGTCAGTGGATAGTACATACATTTGTTTAAGACCTACACTGTGCAAATATGCACAAACACATTTAACACTGTTGCCTCTTCTCTTTGTTTTAATCTTTTACCCCGCTGCTTTGGCTCTCTCTCCCCTGATATCTCTCTCTCTCATTTTGTACCACCTCTCACACTCTGTTCTCTCTTTGTTAAGGCTGTTATTCATTGTTTGGTTTTGTTCACTTCACAGGCCTGGAGCCAGACAATGGCCTTGTTATCTAGGCTACTGTGGCCCACTGAATGTGCAACAGTTGGTCTTAGTGGAGGCCATATATAATACCCACAATTCTGCACACCCACAGCAGGACAGGCGGGTCACACTGAGCGAGTTAGGAGTTCAAACTATCCCATTTGTTTTACGAGATATTTCAGGGCTGTATGAATCAATACGCTTCAGATAAAGTGTGTGTTTAAACAAAAGAAACATGTACTTTCACCACTGCTTGGCTTTCAAGGAGACTTATGACCTGACCACTGGGGAGGTCCTCTGCCCCTCCTTGCCCCTCCTTGCCCCTCCTTGCCCCCCTGCTTGTGCTTATGAGCCATCGGAATGTCAGTTGCATTATCCTACAACCACCTTGATGAATTATGCTGGTAATTTACAAGATATATTTTTGAATAGACCTTCTTTTGGATGGACACTGTGAGCAATGGTGATTGAATAATATCTAAGATCAGGAATTACAGCTGTTATTATGTCTGCCTGTCATTCTCTTTCTCTCTCTTTCTCTGTCTCTCTTTCTGCCTGGTATGTTGTTGCAGGACCCAGGCAGAGATGGCCCATACGTGTCGCGGAACAATAAACTTGGCCACAGCGCACATCGACACAGAGGACGCCTGCAACATTGTCCTGAGCAGTGGCGGCCGCACGTACCACCTGAAGGCGAGCACAGAAGTGGAGCGGCAGAGATGGGTAACGGCGCTGGAGCTGGCTAAAGCTAAAGCCATCCGCATGATGAACGATCAGTCTGGTAAGGGCAGATGATGCAAGGAGACTATGTGGAAAATATAAGCTGCATACTATCCCTTTTATTGAGCTTATTTAGTTCAAGCTGCAAGAACATCATGCACACATCTAGGCACTGCTGATGTTAAAGATCATAATCTATCTTTAAATAAAGGCTTGGCTTGTGTTTACCTTCTGAATTGAATTGTGAGTGCAGCTATTAAGATACTGAAAGATTAAGATCCTTGTGTGGTGTGTGTGAAAGGTGTGCTCAGTGTTGATTCAACATATTCACCATACTCAGACCAGGCAAACATTTGATTTTCCTCCAGCCACAGCATTTGATATTCAGCACAGCTGGTGTTTTCAGCTCACGCCCTCCTGCTTTCATGTTATTTAGATTCCAGTTCGAGCCAGGAGAGGGCAGAGCTGTCTGGTCAGTCCAGTTGGAGAAAGAGTATGCTAATGGTACCGTGAGAACTGAGCTTCCATTCATCCTCCTCCTAACAACATAACACTCTCCTGTCCAAGAGGGACTTATTCTTGTATGGTTGTATAAGGTGACGCTGGTCAAAGGCTGTGGGAAAAGCCTGGGAAAGCTGTTTTGTTCACGTTTCACTCTGGCATTAACCCAAAGCTTCTCTGCCCCAGTCGTTTTGCAGAAAGAAAGCACACAGACTGAGACAGGCTACATATATTCCTTTGGCCTCCATTTGAAAGTCAGATCACTAAATTTAGACTGAGAGAGAATCTGGGTGCTTTTTAAAGGAGAGGAATGCTGGTATATTTTTATTTTGAAAAGGTTAGACTATTGAGTGGCCTGTGTGTGTGTGTGTGTGTGTGTGTGTGTGTGTGTGCGCGCGCGTGCGCGCAGCACAGTCTATTGTAAGGTTCAGCTGTACTGATGCTCGGCTACCTTCTTGGTTTGTGCAAAGATCCATGGTTGCATTTTAATTATAAAAGCAAACCTAATAACAATAAAGCTCTGTATGTAAGCTGACAGTATAACCACGTTTTTACTTTCCATTAAAATACAGAATCTCTGTTACAGGTTAGATGTATTTACATTCCTCAAGCTCACTTACCATTTGTCTCATTAAATAGCCGACATTTGTTGTGGGAGTTTTGTCAGAAAAGTTGGAAACAGCAGAGGCCATATTAGTGGACATTTTAGTCCTCAGTGTTCAAGCTTTAAAAATGTTGCATCCTACAATTCCTCCAATGCACCTAAATAGCATTAATTAGACCCTCTATACTTAATAAACTTTCTGTAATAGTATAGTAATATAAAGTCAGAACCTCTCAAACTATTTCATACATTTTCTAGTATTTTCTGGATTATTACTTGCCATAAATTAGCCTTTAATTTTATAAGGCAGTAAATTCTTTGTTTAAGCTTTGAGTCAGTTAAAGCTTTAAAGCTTAGAGAAAGAACACGTCTTTGTATTTTCCTAACATTTCCTTTCAAAGCTAATCGATCTGTGGGAGGAGGATTTAGGAGAATGTGAGAAAGAGACAGTGTGAGTGTACAGAAAATCATAAATCTGCTAATGCACCTGCCACCAGGGGGCCACTGGGGCTCTAATATGTCAGTGAATAAAGGTGAACGTTGTCAATGTGTTCATCAAAACTAATTTTATAGATCATTTTACCATCCAGCTCTATCAGAGCATCTCATCTTTTAGCAAAGGGCTAGGCAAACAGTGACAGGGTGGGTCCATTCAGTAACCCTCCAATCCTCTCTCTGTCAGTGAAACAAAGAGCTTTGATTGATTTCCTCAGGAGAGCACTGGACAGATTAGGTTTTCTATTTTGTATGCTAGATTACATTTTTTGCATCTTTTATTTATTCTATTGCTCCACATGTGCGCCATACTTTTATTCTAATTTGAGATGACCGCAAAGAGTCTTACAGAAACTCAGCTCAGAGAGATTCCTCTTCCACTCTAAATCCTGATTTAGTTGTTTTCATTGTTTATGGAAAAACCCAATAATACAAACAATAAAAAAGAAAGAGGCAGAAGAAAGACAAGGGGTGATCCACACACTGCCTCTATAGCGACAAGATTCTTTCTTTGTAAAACTGACCAGAGTTTTGAATCAATTACTTCAATTTCTCATTTGTACTGTTGTCACATCTGCAGCCTTTCTAAGCCTTCTCTTTTAAATTACCTGTCCTCTCATGAGTGCATCTTGTATTCATTTAGACTCAGATTGGATTTGTGACAGTTTACTGACGCTAATCATTGTAGCCTGCTTCGCATAAAAACAGCAGGTGGCAGTGTTTCCCCTCACTTCAACATGACCTTTCTTCTGTGGTCTGCCTGCCTTTTTTTTCCAGTGCTTGTAAAAGTGTGATCATAGCCCCTTGAATTGCTTTCTTCAGTGGTGGCTTGAATTTGCAAGCCTGAGATGCACTCCTGTTTGAATTTAACTCAAGTGAATATTAGCTTAAAAGGTGGATTCCTTTGGAAACTGTAAGGATTTAGTGGACATTTGTGTGAAAAATATGAGTAATTCATAGATTCTGGAACCACTCATCCAATCAGTGGTGTTTCTGGGTCGAGCTGAGTTCATGCAGATACAGCTGAGGCAGGCAGGAGAGTAACAGTGCCTGACCTTGAAGTGCACAGTATGCAAGCTGATGTTTATCTTGAACAGTCCATTAATCAGTATCACCATTAGACAGTAAGTGAATCAGACACTGCGGGGATGAGATTTTACCTGAAATGATTCTGGTCGTTTGCGTGAGTAAACCGAAAGTCACAGCTCAGTTATTATATATTATATTACACTTTACTTATAATAATCTTGTGTTATTCTTTTGTGCTTTTGTTTTTCTGTATTTTTTACACTTATTGTTACATCCCAGCTGCTGCTCCCTATTTACATTAACAGGTATTGCTCTGTCCATGGTCCTGAAGCAGTAGGGATATATAAGAGGTAAGAGGATGACGTGAGAACAGATATTTATTTTCCCCTCCCTATGTTCACTGGCTCTTCCTCTCTCTTCCAGGCTCCCTCTAACACTCACTCGCTCTCTGGTGCTCCTACCCCCTCCCTCTTTCTCCCTTGCTTTCCCCTTCTCTCAGTAAACCGTTTACTCTGCTTTTCTTCTGCCGGTGCTTTAGTTCTGAATGTAATGACCTTCTGCTTTGTTCAACTCTCCTCCTCTATTCAGCCGTTTTCTTTGGCTTCTTACGTTGTCCTGTAAAGTCTGTGGAAAAAAACTGAAGAAAGATAAGCTACAGTCTCTTTGTAAGTACGAGGCTTTTCTTCCAGTTGTGTTGTGCTCAGGAATCTGTGTGTGTGGTGTGTGTTTGCATGCATACATGCATACCTGGATAACACGATAAAGAGGCTGCTATAGATTTGTTTTTCATCATATAAGTGTGTGTTGGCTTAGTTATAGTGGATAAAACAAGGGGATCTGTACTTTTAACATTTCAGAGATGATGTACAGTTGACGTTTGGCACTGAAACCGTTAAAGCAAATTGTGAAGAGACTTTTTCACAATCACAGAAAATAGAAAATATTTGCTATGTGTTTATTTAGTACTGTATATAAATATTTTGCTCTTTTGTTTGTATTGTGAGAGGGTGATTCGATCTTTCTGGGCAGGGCAGGAGACTGATAATGCTTGTGCTCACACTTGTTTACATAGGGATACATTCAGGTTATGTGAATAGCATCTGTAGCTTCCTTTACATCAATAAATTCATGGCTCATTCATGGTCTTTCAATGATTTACCAGTAAATGGAAAACAATTGTTCTTTAAAATGAAATCTGGAACACTCTTAACTGTTATGGAAAATATTCATGTCTACTCTGTTCATCAAAGTAGAACAAAAAGCTGCATCTTAAAGTATTTTTAACAAATGCAAGCAAGCATACTTTTATTTTGTATAGTAAATATTTATATAGTTTAGATTCATCTGCAGCTGCTACATCTCTGAATTCATGAAAGGATGTTATGAAATGACAGATGGCTTGCTTATCATCCTCATTAATTAGTTCTGCAGTGGCCGTGTATCGAATCACTTGTCCTTGTTTGTTTCGGATGTAAAAGCGTTTGCCAGCAAGGGTCGATTTGCTGGATCAGCTCGGTCCCCACTGACAAGTGAGATGGAGACAAAGCCATCAGGGTCAGATTCAGTCTTAGCAAATAAAACGTCACTGCTGGATGAAGCCAAGCTCCTAACAGATATCACAGATACTGTGGCTACCAAAGTTATCAACCTGCTAAAAATGATCGTCTGGGTTCTTTTTTTAAATCACGTGTTTCATGTGTGAATATAAAAGGAAAGTGTCTCTTTGCTATGTCACAGTGGATTGGATTTTACTGTACCTTCCATGATCTGCATGTCCTTGTTGACCATGCACACATATCGATCTTGGAGTACTGTAATAATGCTGCAGAGGTGGTTTGAAAAGTTGTGATGGATATTTTGACCACAGCCACATTATTGTCTTCGAAAGAACCAGTCAAGGAATATAATGTTCCATATACTTTAACATCTGCTGAAAATAAACGAGGGAAAGCATCTGAGTGTCTGTCAGGAATAGCATTTAAATGTTAATTAGAGGAAATTTTATGTGATGGTTGTTACCTCTGCCAGGTAGATCAGAATTTCTCACCTCTCTGTTTATTTATTTGTTGGTTTATTAGTTTGTTTGTTTGTATGTCAGTAGGATTACCCTAAAACAACTGATCCTTGGTGGAAGGATGGGACATAAGCAAAGAAAGAACCCATTAAAATCAAGATCAGTGGGTGGATCCCGGAATTTCTTTTGTCTTTTACATAGCAAGATTGTATGTATTCTTTAACATTTTTATCAATTTCCAAGAGAAAAATTCATGAATCTTGGTGAAAAAAAAACAACTGACATATTTTAGGGACTAATTTCTTTAAGTGTGTGAATTGTGGTGCAGCCTGATATGAATAGAATTGGACCTTGGTGGATGTATGAGCTCTACTGAGGCCATTTTAGTTGATTCTGTTTTTGAGACACTGTTTGCATC